ATATAATTCCTGGAAGCCTCAAAAGTCTCAAGGTATAAAGCAAACACTAAGGAGCATATAGCACTTCTGGGAAACTAGCCATTCAAACCACATCAATCCATACCTCTATAGATGGTAACCGATAGATGTCAAGTGAACTATAGTTCGCCGGAGAAAAACGATGACACGTTGGTTTTAACGACGGAATTTGATTCGCATACTCCATTTATACTCCATATTCCATTTCCCTTGCAAGCTATTCTCAGCGCATAACCATGCAGGTCTCGCATCAGCCAGTTTCTGGGATTGCTTTTGCTGATTGGTTGAATCACTGCTCCAGCCTCTCGCGCGATAAAGTATTCGTTTCTCATTGCTTAGCTACTATGCAGTATCACCGTCCTGATACCTTTGTCCGTCCTGATAGCTCAGTTTGTGAAAGCACCTGCCTTCCGATCCACCTACCCGTGGCAGGGTGGGTTCGAGTCGCTTTAGGCGCTTGCTATTTGCCCGTTACAGCTATGGCTCGAGGCAGGTGGCAGCGGTCACGCTAAAGCTCAGGTGACGTCAGAAGGCAAGATGGAGCGTGCCGAGCACTGCGACACGTTAAACTTCCGCCGTCCAAATTCTGCCGTCAACCTAGAATCGCGCGATCTGATCGCAGGTATCAGGGCTCACACAACAAGCACTGCTCAGCGTGAGCTCTTATCCTAGAAACCCATGCATTCAAAAGGTTTGGATTAAATCTGAATAAAGGCCTTCAAGAGATCTTTGATCATAAAATCGATATCTTTGATCTTCATAAGTATATAATCCATTTTGTCTGTTGAGAGGGGGAGATAGGAGACCTTTGAGAGGGAAGTGGGTCAAACTCATAGGCAAGGCTTTTTTATTTGAACTTGGGGTAAGCCATTTTTCTGCCCTCAACATATTTCGCGAAGCTACACTCCTAGAACTGGTGCTGGATGTACGTGTGAATGCCTCTGTGTGAAGTGGATGCTAGTAGGGTGTTTGGGTGGGATGATGGAAAAAGAAGTTTTTTGCTTCCAAGCTTTATCTTCGATTGATTTACTAGGCGGGCCAGCACCAGCCAGAATGTATTAGTATGCTATCCCGCCGGGAAGTTGACAAGATTCTGCGTAGTTGGACTGGTCACCTTTTTGAGGTGATACGGGGTTATAGGGACACAACTTCCTAAACAGTTTTGTTGATGGCGTACGAAAGTTGTACGAGTGATGGAGAATGAGACCCAGGAGAAATTTTCGACTCCCTCTTCTCCCTTAGCATTGAAGTTGACATACCATTGGGGCTGGGAGATTCAACATTGGGGTGCCAAAGCCCACTCAAAGAGACGATGCTGCAATCTCGGCAGACTTATGACCCATGACATCCTCCCCCGAGGTCATACCGATGTTTGATTACTGCGCTTGTGCTGCGCTTGATTCAGCACAATCTTCTGTGCCTATTCGACGAGCAAAGTGCCGTTTACGGCAGAACATCCGTCATAACCTCGACTCGATCTTAGTTATTGAGGTTGATCCAACCTAGAGAGTTAGTGGTTGCCTCAGGTGGCCAAGGCTACCCATGCCAACTTCCGTGCACCAGTCCTGCATGTGGGAGATACGCCTGGTCGCGCAGCGCGGGCCCGCATAGTGATTGCTAGAGATTGTCTATTCTGACCCGCCAGCTAACTGGGTGCATTGGCGGCAGCCTGCGCTAGAGTTATGGCTTTGTCCGGAAAAGCTGACAATGCCGAGGCTGGTGGACTGGAGTTAATCTTGATTTCAAGAGCTGCAAACGCCGCTGTCGACTACAGCAGGCTGGCGCCATCAATTGCGCGTGCACCACCCAGAAATGCTTTCCAGATCAAACCGAGCGGCGCCGGCCGCTCTTCTAATTGCGCGTATTCTACCCAGAAATGCTTTCCAGATCAAACGGAACGGCGCCGGTCGCTCTTCTGTGGTAACCGATCGGCGGAGCCTGCGAGGCTGGGTTTCAAAAGCAGAGGTGACGCTCTACATCAGCCCGTTCGCTTCAAAGAGCATAGCGTGACCGTTTCAGCTTAACTCATTGGTGCCTCCATTGCCCGTGGGAAACATGCCAGACCCGTCGTCCGGAAGCCCGTTGCCTCTGGACGTGAGCCTGGGTTAAAAACCCCGGAAAGGGTTCGTTGCTTAGGCTGGCTGGCCTAGAAAGGTCAACTGAAAACTGACCAACGGGAGTCAGCCCAGTTCCAGGCTGGCCGTGCCACAGCATTGTGCGGCAGGTCAGCTGTCCGCGTTCCTGTCCGGGGAAAATGAGAAGGCAGCGTTTTGCGTGAAGTGCGGGGACACAACATGGCGGGTGAGCTCATTATATATGCAGCGCGCTTTGCTTAACAAGTACTCCGAACGTGGAGATGCCTATAGAAGTAAATCGAGACTTTTATAATATATCTAAAAGCTGTCTTCTTTGTCCTGGTCAGCCCCTGATTATATGTATAAGTCAGTCTCAGTCATTATGCTGTTCGGAGTTTATAGTTCATGTACTTTTTTGTCCGGAGTTCATGTTCCTGACTTTTTTCTCTCTTTCCATTCTATGTCTTTTGACGATTTATTTTTGATTTCGGCCCTTCTGACATCCTCTGAAGGCTCTAGCTTTTCATGATGTGACTCAATTCTAACGTCCCCCAACCTGTCCAGCTGTTCACGAGGCTGTTCATGTTTCAGTGGTGTTCATGTTTCAGTGGTGTTCATGTTTCAGTGGTGTTCATGTTTCAGCGGTGTTCATGTTTCAGTGGTGTTCATGTTTCAACGGTGTTCATGTTTCAGTATGCTCGCCCCTCGGCATCCGCAACTCTCCCTCCGTTTATCGGACTGTCGATGGCAGACCGACAAGCTCCTGACCTTTAATCGAGCAGATGTACATGAATACTACAGTGTGTCATCGAGCGGGTGAATCACTTCAAGTAAGAATCAAGTAAGGCAAAGTTTTTCTGTGACCCATGGATTAATAATTTGATGTCTGTCGCACCACACCAATGGTGATATTCGTGACCCGAAAACAATTTACTTCAATGGGCCATAAAAATCGCATTCTATACCAGCACCACTTATTTTACACACTGGGGCCATCCTCCAACAAGCCTCGATCTTGTCACGTTCCACACTTCTGGTACCTGGTGGATTAACTATGAAAAGGATATCACGAAGAACACCAGCAAAACATTGTAAAACAGCGATTAAGTTGACTTTTATTAAAGAATTGCGGGTCGTCGACGCTGCCATCTGCAGTGACAACGGTCTCACCCGGAACGAACCGTCGAAGTCATCGCCACCTCCTACCGTGTACGGGGCTGTGTCAGAATCCGAGGTCTCGGCCGGTTCGCCCGCGCTGAAACCACTTGGTTCCGGAGCAGGGTCGAGTTCAGCATTAGCAGCCGGCAGGGAGGGCGACTCAGGTTCAGCAGCAGGCACTGCATCTCTGACGGTCAAGCCCGTGACACCGCTCTGATAGTTGACAGCTACGCTGGCTCGAACCGGGCCGTTGCTGGTATCATCAACGCCCTCCATCAAGACAGCAGAGACAAACTGGCTGCTTTAAATTAAATACCGTAGATCCTAAGAAGATCTGGCGCGCAAGAGACAGCGAGAAAGGAGAGGGCACATCAAAATACTGAAGCAGTCCATGAGTCAAGTTGACCATCCCCTACGTAGACGGCCGCGAAGACAGGACCTACATGAGCCACACACAGCCGCACGAATACCGTCGAAAAAACGCGTGGTTATCATCGCTGAGCTAGGCGGCCGCTACGTGACTCACTCCACGTCCGAGCCCGGCCTCGCTCTGTACTTGCTCGACGAGCTACACTGCGTGAGCCTGCAGTGCGACGGTCACGCCAGGGTGTTCGGCTGCGATGGCATGGCCGTCAACACCGCGACGACAAGCGGCGTGTTCCGGCTGTTTGAGCTTGCCACCGAGTCACCCGTACACTGGTTCATCTACAAGCTGCACGTCAACGAGCTGAACCTCCCCCATTTGCTGCTGAGCCTGGACGGCACGACCATGTCACCGAAATTTTCCTGGACTCATCGGCGCTGCAGAGGTCTGGGAGAGGAGCGTTGTGTCATTCGAGCCCATACCGCGGCACGTGCCAAACCTGCCGGTCGACCTGATCCAGCAGCTGAGCACCGGCTAGCAGGTGCTGCGCCTGCTGGCCTCCGGCGTTCAAAAGGGCTCCGTCCGAACTGCGACAGCCCGGCGGCCAGTCGGACCACTGAACCATCCAAAGTAAATATGAAAACGCATTATCTTCGAGTTTATAGCGGTGAATGTTTAAACTTTATCACCTATCACTGGGCATTTCATGGGCTCACTAGTGAGCATTTACTCATTATCATGCGTTGTGTCATAGTATGTGGAATCATTCACTTGTTGATTCATGTTTTCTAGTATGTTTACTGATTGGTATTCCGTTACCTTTACGGACTGAAAGATCAGCATAATTACATACCTTTAAGAGGCTCAATAATTTTTGCATGATCTAATGCTTAGGTCGTAACGAATATCTACCGAGACCTTCAGCCCCGCTCTCAAGGACCTCGTCCAGTACGAGGTTGGCTGGTCACTACGTGCCAGTACGGTCCCCCATCCGGCAGAACAGCAGCTGCGACTTTGGCTCGCGCATCACGTTCCGGAGCATCGCCCTTCTCCGCGAGCTGCCGCAGCACACACAGGCCACAGTTCAGCCAGCCTTCCAGCGCAGCGGGTACTAGACCTGTCGGGAACAGCTGCTGCTGGACACGATGGGGACGAGAACCGTGCGGTCCGCGGACAGGCGGCTCCGATCGTCGCGCCGTGTGTGATCAGCAAACCGAGGGTCTTCTTCAGTCTAGACTTCTCGCCATCCCAGCGATAAACTTCGGGGGCGTGGGGAACACCAAACTGATCTGGCGCAAACCACACAGTCTCCACTGCGAAGCCTCAGCGACGGTGAGCTGTGGGACTAATAGTAGGCTCCGCTGGCCGTCCCGCCCCATCTGCAGGCGGAGGAGAGCGCCGTGCGCATCGTCACCGAGGAGTGTTCGGGGGCGATGAGAGAAGAGGCGCGGTACGGCCCCACCACGGCCTAGCTCAGGTAACCCCAAATTCTCCCAAGCGTCTAGGAAATATTGGCTACTCTTGAGGTAAGCCGATAGTTGTTAACTAATCACATCCTCAAAAATATCAGACTCCCGTTTCAACTTCAGTCTATTGCTTTACAATCGCTCGTGTCTCTATCTATCTTTACGTCTCAATTGATCAAGATGCAAATTAAAAATGCACGCTTGATTACAAGATGCACTGTGTCTACTTTTCAGTAATTTCATGGTTGTTGTGCTTCTATCACAGCCCCTTTAAATGCTCTGTCGCAGGTGATGGCAACAGCAGACCGCGGCAAGGCAGCCGCCGCCGTCGCCGCCGCCGCCGCCGCCGCCGCCGCCGCACCATTCCGTCCGCCTGCTGTCCAGGTGCAGGACAGTCATTCAGAAGAGGCTGGACCGGAGAGCGGGCCGCTTGACCATCACTCGGCTCTCCCACTCAGCATCTGGGCCAGTGCATCGAATACGCAGTCTCGGCCAGGAGCAAGATGTGCATGTGATCACCCTAATCCCCCTTCTACGCCCGCGGTGCGGGCTGCAGATCTTGCTTTACGTACTCAGTTTTCAGCAGGCAATGAGTCATGTGCAATGCATGGTTTTGTTTGCAGTACGAGAGTTGTCTTAAAGCAGTGAAGGCCTGAAGGGTACGTACCAACGTATTTGCACGAGTTCACACTCAACAACACATCAAGTTTCTGCCATATGACAATAGATCGGGCAACGTCTGATCCACATATTCGATCCTAAATCAGGATATTTTCGTACGGCGGCTTAAGAAGCGCCCGGTAGCATCGTTTCAATACATAAAACTATTTCCTATCACTGCCCACGGCTTGGTGTTACCTGCGGCGGCCGGCGCTGCCCAGCATACGGTGACTGCGACGCTGGTCGTCGATGAACGGGGATATTTTGATCGGTTCGCGCATCACGAATTTAAGTCTTTGGAAAGAACGTTTGTTATTCCGTGTACTTTTGGGCTCCAGCGCCAAACAATGCCTTTGTCTCGCTTGGTTTTGTTACTGATGACACGCCCTAATGTACACCATCCCTTTTACATCCAGCCAAAACGAAATCCTCGGGAAGGTCAAAGGGAAAATACCAGTCAGTTTCTGATGCGTTCCCTCCCCAGTTAAGCTCCGCAAAAATGGTAACGACTCAAGCGGTAATGTGGGCATGCTTTTGCTCATCATCCGCCATATCTAGCTCAGTCTTGGCTGGTGCAAGTATTGTCGCAGCTCGAATAGACACGACGATGCCGACACCTGACGCGGGAACATGTATCGCCGAACATGTACTTACAGTGGATGACACACCCCAATCCAGTCTCTCACAGTAACTGAAAACGTACCAATGATGGCAAAGAGTGCACCGACAAGTGCAGGAGCTTTGAGTAAACGTAGTTCACCCGCATGTGCTTGATGCAGACTGACTCGATCATTTGTTCAGAGGTTATCGCCAACACAGCATTACGCCACTAGCAAGCACATTCAGTAAGAAAAACGCATCTTGCGCATCACCACGTGAACGTGATCCCCGACAACGCGTGATATGAAAAGGTGAGAGCAAACGTGATAACGAGACCACACCTGTACAAAAACAAACAAAACTGCACATTCACTTATGACAGGGGCGCAATTTACATGCTTGGGCGGAGGGCTACAACATTATGTGCACGTCAAAAGCTCGCTTCTAATCACACAGCCGTACTCAGCTGTGGAGCATGGGACTGCTGGCAGTACAAGATCAGCCAGTATAAGACTGTTGTACTGTCTCATGTCAGGTCAATGCCGAGCTCCCTGCCTAATTTGGTCACACGAGCCTGCGTGGGAGCGATACGCACATTAATGCTTGCACGGAAAATGGATACACTGCGAACGACTGTCTCTTCATCCATCATGCGTCATAGAGCACGACATTTCTTTCCACTATCTTTCGTCAAGAGGATAGCTTAAATGAGCTTTCTGGTGGCTTTCCAAGCAACAAGCATGCGATGGGAACGATATTTTGGGGATATGACTTTTGACTGGTACTTTGCAAGACCCAGAGACCATCACAAGGACGCAAGGACGGATCGCGGTTAAGAGCACCGAAGGCATCCGAAGTCCAGACAGCTAGTACATCCATACGTCCCGTCCACGCATTCAAGAAGAGAACGCTGTAGTAGCCTTTTGCGATTTTTATTCCCCTAAATAACCCTGCGACCAAGCCCATTTCCAAATCTCCCCACGCAACCCCTAAATCCGCTCATACAGCTATTTATGCTTGAGTTCTCTTGCCACCAACCAAGCCTGTGGTAACAATGACCAATGCTTACGACCCCAATCCTCTTCAAGTGTTGAATATTCATGTCAGCATTTACTGCATAGGAGTCCAATGCGGCAAGAACGGAATGTACTCCACTTGCTCTGCGAGTAACCTCCAGTCTTCCATTCATCAGCGCAGGGGGTGCTGTGGTTTGGGCATGCGGCATACGGCGACGGTCCTCAGTCACCACAGCAACGTACCGGTCATTGAGTTAAATAGTACTGTACCGATCAGAAATCTAAACATAGGCCCAATGGGTACAAAGGTTGAAACACCCTCGGTGCGCTTCCGTGAACAATCGCACGACACAAAATCACAAGCCTGCCAAGCCTGCCAAGGTTAGTGATCCAGACTGCTGGTGCGCCGCACGACCGGCTCCAGGGACAGGAGCGGTTCGAGCGGCTGCCTGCCGTCCCGCTGCTTTTTGAACAGGCTGAAGTGCAGCATGTCGGCCATGTCCGGGGAGGCGGCGCGTCTCTGGCGCCGGCGGGCCCGCCGCTCGCCGCCTGTCGGCTCGCCGCGCCATCGGTCCGGCTTGTCGGGCCAGTCGGAGCGCACGCGGCGCAGCGGCCGGGGCGAGGTGCGCCGCGGCGGCTCGAGGCTGCCGCTACGTCCGAGGACCGCCGCCGGCCGAACGGCCCGCGGCTCTGGGCTCGGCGTGCTCAGCTCCGGGCTGGGAACGGCCGGCAAGGGACTGCACAGGCGCCGCAAGTCCGACTGCCGGCCACAGAGACAACGGGTGGCAGTTAGGAGGCGGGCCGACGGGACGACGGGAGGTGGCGTTGTCGTGCGGTGAAACCTAAACACAGCCTGTCTTTCATCAAAGTGTGGCAGCCATTGAAACATTTATTAAACGCTTACGTGCCTGGTTTTCTTTGATCAACTTGGCATATATTTACAGCGATCACTTTCAGTTTAGAAACTGGCATCGTAAGGATATCAAGTACAATTATTTTCGAGTCCAAGTAATGCTGTCAGCGCTTTATAACAGCACTTGCAATCCATTGCAATCGCGACCACCGTTGTCATGACAACCGCCCCCGCACCTCTACTGGTGCAGATAAAAAATAGTTTGTGATTGGCTCAGCGGGCGGCAAGGTCCTATTACCGAGTGGTGTGCTGATTGAAGCTCCATCCTGTGCGTCACTATAAACCACGTGATATTTTCATTCCAAAAACCAAAGTGCGCCTCGAAAGGAGCCGCTGTGGTAAACGTCAAGGGGAGAAATCAAGAACATGATGAAGTGTTTCGTCGAATTCGCGGCATAATAGTTTCATGTGTGTTTGCCTTTTGCCTGAATGGAGTATTTCAAGCTTTCGCAGCATTTATTACACAAACATGTTGACACATGAGAATGTTGCAATTTTTACCAAGCACACGTTGCAAAGAGCAAGGTAATTAAAGGTATTAGCTATATGGTGGTGATCAGGGGTCCAATGAGATCTTTCCCGCAGGAGTGGATACTTAAAATTAAAATTCGGAGCTATTCAGAATGGTTTTGAGAAAATTGGTATTACAGTCCAAATCGTACGCATCTGATCTGAATAGAAGTAAAATGAACAAAACAGGCGGCATGCTTCCTTAGCTTGCGCTCGAAAAGGGATCAGTTTGCTCCCCGAAGGTTTTTTCCGGAGTGGTTTCCCAATGGCGAGGCGTAGCCGCGCCAAACTTTGCATTACTAAAAAACCCCATAAACTTCACATAACTATAAATGGACTAACGGATCGTTTGGAATCAAAAATTTGGATTTACCTCACAAGGTCGCTGACCTACGGCGGGTCAAAGTAAGGTCATGGAATCAGTGAGGTTAATTTCTCGGGAATCATTCAATCCGATGCAACAACGGAGTGTTGGACGAAGCCATACATCTCTGACATACTTTCTCAGGCAACACAACAATTGAATGAACAAATTCCATTGACTTAGAGTCATGTATGAAGGTCAGATCAAAGTCAAAACCAACCTGTTTTACCATTCTAAAGCTTGCAGTACGTGCTGGTTTCTAGTGATCATTTCGAATGTGGTGATAACGGAAACCCAATATTCATCTTCCATGAAATTCTTCAAGCTTAAAATAGGTCGCTGACCTAAAATGACCCAAGTCAATCTTTGTGTTTAGGAAGATTTTGCCTGAGGTAATCTTTGCTACCTATTGAAATGTAAAACTCAAAGCATTCTGGTATGATTTTGGTCACCATGACCTTCGAAAGGTTGAATAAGGTCACTGCCCTTAAATAAACATGCGATATTTTGCTAAGAGCAGGTTTCTAGGTCCTGGAGGCACTTTGGACACCAACTTGTAGTTTGACCATGTTTGGCCTTATCTGGCCCGAGGGTCATAACCTAGGAACCTCAAACTTTGATCCAAATGAGTTTACACACAGGTCAACACATCCTCCAAAATTGATGTTAGCTCTCTTAATTTCTGAGATCTCAGGGGGCCAAATTGAGCCCCACCCGAGCAAAGGATGTTCCACCAGCCACCCGGGCTCGTATTGACGCTGTCTAAACACTGGCTGCTGTGTTAAGACACTGTGTTCAAACTCTCTCTGTTCCTGTGTAAAACACACTGTGCTAACACTGTCTTAAAGTGACCAGCTATGGGCCTGGCCGGGACGGACAACTTCAGCCAAGGAAAGTGATGAATATGCAGTAGTTTACAAATTAGGCAATGTAAATGAACGCATCGCATCAAATGCTAGCATTCTGAACATACATCGATCACAGTTAAAAGGAGTGTTTCACATTTATTGGGGTTTTGAAATAAAAAAAGCCGTCTGGAAGGCCCTCCAATGCTTTTCACAATCCTGCCCTTTTTAATAGGTTTATCAAGGCGTTTATATCTGGCGTTCGTGAGCACGAATTTCAAATATAATGGCCGCCAATTGGCTCTCAACCAATGTTGTGCAAGGTAAGAAGACCTAATCAAACCGTAACGCATTGGGGAACATCTGCTAAACAGAGAATCGTGCTGTTTACAGCAGTCTTTCATTTAAAAAGTATACCAAAAGTTATAAGTAAGCTTGTTTCATCATATCTGATGCACGCTCAAAAATCTTCAAATGTGAACCATTTCTTTTAACAGGGTTTTAAGCAAGCTTGTATGCAGCGATAGAGCCTGTGCATAAACGCCTATGTGGAATGCACGCGATCAAACGGTCTGTATAGGTTTCATGGCATGAACTCACGGCTTAGGCCATGGCGTCTTACATATACGATCGGTTTAGGAAAATGTGACAATAGCCTGCTTCCGGTCGATTAGTGGCCCTCTCTTTGGTCGTACAGCTTTGACAGTGGTCAGTTAATTATTCCTTTTCTGAACATAAAATGCAGTCTTACGCATTAACTTCAGCTGCAAATAAGTCGAAGGACTGTTATAGCTACTTAACTGCTCCCTCGATTCTGAGTTCCGCTATCGTGGTGACTCGCAGGATCGGATCACAATCAGTTGCCATTGCTTGTCGAAGACAATGATTACTCCACCCAGACGACTGCCCAATACTTCACTGCGGACCATTTGATTTCAATGTTTCCAATACTTCAGTAGGGACCATTTACTTTTAACGCTAGATGAAATAAATGAAATATTGTCGTGATCTCGAAGGTATGCAGTGCTGCGCCAGCTGGTGCCACAGAGAGCAAGCGACGACTCTCCGTGCATTTCGGAACGCTTTATACTTTAATTATTTTGTATCCAATGCTCATGATTTTTTGTCGGTGAAGCCATTTCCAGAATACCGCTGCCTGCATCAGATTATCATCGCCTTGACCTATCTGTTCTTCAAACAGGCTCAGTTTTTATGGCAACAGCTTGCACAATCCCCTCGAGCTTTAGAAATTCACGCCTTTGATCCCCAGACTTAAGGCTTAAGTCGCATTGCCGATGTTTTCAGCTCTAACGACCCACCGAACTAAAACTCATTGCATTCTGCTGACCTCAAGAGCGCCATACTCTACCGGAGAGCTTCCGAATGATAAATCATGTACGGTGAAAACCTCTCAACTGTCTTACCATACGCTAAACTGCATGTTCATTTCAAATACAAATATTATGTGAGGCGCATTTCAACTTTAGTTCTTTTTTGCCAAAAAACTCGAACTTTGCCGCCTTCCATCTAATGCCACTGTGCCGAAGATTGTACCAGCCAGCCATGAGGATAAAGCCGGCTTCGGTTTCAGCTTCGGCTGTGAGAAACTGCACACAAATCTGAAAAATGCACACACGATCCACGAATGGCTTCAGCTTCAGTTTCAACTTTCAGGCATTTTCTACGGCTGACTTGGGCTTCGGCTTCTGTCTTGTACCATTCCAGCGGTTAGCTTCAGTTTCGGCTGTGTGACATTTTTTAACAGATGGCTTTAGCTTTAGCTTCGAACAGATCTGAATTCTGGCTCCGGCCTCTGCGCGCTGTGGTTTTCAACCGCTAATTTCGGCTCTGTCATGGCAATCTTTTTCACTCCGATTGCGGCTCTGCTTTACAAACACAGTCTTACTCGTTATGTCACACCAATATACCACACAACTTTTGAAGACTGCGATTCACGTCTGGCTAAAAGCCGTAATCAATCACTACCCCCTTTTACGGCAAGACGTGACAAAAGTCCGAAAATTGCATGCGTAATGGCAACGCACTGCCTCAGTTGGTCCGCAAATCCAGTACAACATTTACTGACCCCACACAGTTTTAGCCTACACGAAGATGTTTTGGTTCCACGAAACAACGTAACACGGCTCCGGCTTCGGCCTCCTGATTTTAAACTGATGGGTTTGACTTTTGCTTTGCTTTTCTCAATTTCCATACTGCTGGCTTGGGCTTTGTTTTCGCGCATGCAAAGCTAGAAGTCACTGACTTGGGAATATGCTCTGCTTTTTGGAATTTTAAGCACTGGCTTTGGTTTCGGCGTGGCACTTCCAATTTTCAAGGCCACCGAGTTCGGCTTCGAATTCGACATTACGTCATGTTTTGGCCCTAGATTCCGCTTGGAAGCCAGAAGTCTGGCTCCATCATCATGCCTGGTACTGACCCTTGACATTTTGTGAAAGCCTCGCGATTGGCCATATTCCTCAGGCGCATCTGACTGCAGCGTGAGGAAACAGCCACGTTTGGGACAGAAGAGACTGCACCTTGTTTCTGGACATGATAATATTTTGTTGGACCGTGGCTAAAGGCTGTCGTCAATGTTTCATTACTTAAGACCGATCCGTCGGGAATTATTCGAAGAATCGTGTTTTTTATTGAAACTGGCAAAACAAAAACAAACGTGAAACTCACGTCGACGGATAGCTAGGACCGAAACAGAAGGAATAGGCATGTAATTTGAGCCGTAGGGAAGATGGTGAACCACTAGAGTGGTTAGTTTTCCAATGACGTCGTTTTTCAGTACGTCTATCGTAGTCTCCAATGGCAGATGGCGTCGCCTAGGATCTCAGCTATGAAGACATCTGTTCTATAATACTGAAGTTGTGGACATATCGAACACAAAACTGTTCTCAGTCTACCATTTGTGTCGTGATTCGAGCGAAACCCGCCCACCTTAGGCCCTCGCTCGTAATAAAGGGAAGCCGAACACATTCTACCCGGTTACTGGCTGCAGCCAACATGCACCCACCTGCATGTGCGTCAGTGTGAAGGGCATCTCGGCCACCACCCTGCCTGCCAGAGAACTCAGGTACAACTTTATCTTGACGGAGTAGGAGACGGCCAGGCCGAATACTTTCTGATCCGGGTGGCTGAGCCTGCCGGCATGTGTGGAGCGCCATGTAGCTATGACAATGCACATGTAACACCGATGTTGGCGGATAGTGGGCTCAGAAGAGTTGAAGAATTGGTGAGCTGGCCGCTGAGTTCGTGGCATGGACGCCATGCCACTCACAGGAGGACATGGGTCACTGATGAGTGTTTCGGATTGTTAAGCCGTTTATCCCAAATGGTTATCACATTGCGTGCGGGGGGCGGTTCTAGATATGCAAACATCTATTCGAAAAATACGACTAAGTAGTTGGAGGTATGGCTTTTGGAAACAAAGACCCAAATGAGAACTTCTAGCTTACCGAACAATTACTTTCCGACAGTTTTCAGTGTGCCGTACACTGTCGTGACATGCACAAATACATAAGGAAACATTTTAATTGCAAGCCGTTAACACAAAAGGAAAAGAAAAGAACCGTGAAAGGACACTTCCATTGACAGACGCGTAATTTACCGCACCATCTGTCTGGACAGCTAGTCACCGAAAACTACATAACTTTCATGTGCATGTTTCGCCCCTTATTCGCCTATCGATAATACAGTTATATATTGAATAATGTTAGCGTTAACGTTAACGCATTAAAGCCTGCCACGTGAGACATTCAGTTGGATGCTAAATATCTGGAGCACGCGATTGCATAAAATGTACACATCATTCAATCACTCAAAAGTAAAATATACACTTTGTGGCATTCTCTTTAGTCTTCATGATCCATTCCAGTTGAGGCAGAACAAGAGATTGTAGTCCTGTCGCACTCTCAACTGAACATGCCTTCCAAATAACAAAAATTATTTGCACCACCAACCGAACACAGATCAGCTTACGGCTCGCTGACAGAGCCGGCGACAAACACCCGCTAGCCTTTTCAGAGAGCGAGGGCTCACTGTGTGGTCGAGGCCAGGCCGTCCGGCTGGTCCGGCAGGGCCCCGTTCAGCGCCAGGTTTTTCCGTGTCTTGGCGTCCGACTTCGGCGCCAGCTGGAGGGCCAGCGTCTTCTGCAGACGCTGCCCCGGCGTCACGGGACACTTCTCTCTGCCTCGCGCGGGTGAGAATGCGTGATGTGGGATGTGAAATGAAAGCCGATGAGGGGCGGTCTAAGGGCGGTCTAAGGGCGGTCTAAGGGTGGTCTAAGGGCGGTCTAAGGGTGGTCTAAGGGGTCTAAGGGCGGTCTAAGGGCGGTCTAAGGGTGGTCTAAGGGTGGTCTAAGGGCGGTCTAAGGGTGGTCTAAGGGCGGTCTAAGGGTGATCTAAGGGCGGTCTAAGGGCGGTCTAAGGGCGGTCAAAGGATGACGTATGATCTGACGGGTGCGAATGAGCTGGCTAGTCTTGAAATGAACGCGTCAGAAATTTCTCGGGATACATCCAGGCTATGCGCACATCCCGATCAATACTGCACTGGCGCAGAGTGCGTGCCTAGAGAGGATGTGAAGCACTGGTGTCGGATCTCCTTACTCGGCGAAATTGGACCGGACGGTGTCCACATGCTGCACGAACGAAACTGTGACCAAGAGCATGTAGACTTAACGCGTCTGCCGTTAGCACATCAACGAGCTGACGTTCCGCCGATCCAGCAAGAGCCGTCAGCTTTGTCTATAATTATGCCACCGATAAAATAATGAAGCACCATTGCATCCTTGCGCCACACTCACTCGGTCTGCACATCGCCAACTGCAGTGTGGTGCACGCTGTTGGCACACTCACTCGATCTGCACATCGCCGACTGCGGTCCGGTGCACGCTGTTGGTGTATAGGCGCACCTGCACCGTCTGCAGCAGCGTGGCCTTGATGCGCCGTACAGACCGGCTGCTGCTGTTGCTGATGTGGATGTCGAGGATGAGTCTCTCGCCTCGGTGGTATACCTACGCAAATGCGACAGGCTGTGGACGCTTCCATCTTCGTGGATGATGTTGTTAGACTTTTTCATTGAGGACGTGCTGCATGGCGCCTTCAAACAATTGGCTTTACAGAAGTGCAGCTCTTTCGCAATGCAATAGGCTTAGTTTTCTACAAGTTTTTTGGGGGGCGGGAGAAGTTGGTGGTGGTTTGCACAGAAGGTAAGACAGCATTCCTTGGCATGTATAATCCAAACACGTCAAGTCCCAAATGATTCACTTCAACTTTCAACAGCCCCAATAGATAACCACGGCGATTACACTAAATTGGCAATGGCCCACGTTTTTGCACAGGAGCTTGAATAAGCCGATAGGCAAGTTGCTCGTCTGGCATAGTTAAGGCCGGGGCACTGAGGCAAATATGACAAAGACGTCTATAAATCCCAGTTAAATGCCCGACTCATACTTAAGTAGATTAGCGACAACCAGACTTGAAGAATCAATGTCGCGTTTATAGTAGAGATTATCTGTGAAAGACTCACACATAATCGCCTCTGCATCCAGACCATCAGCGTCTCGCCGGTGAAGTACAAATCTGTTCAAATGTTCAGAAAACAGCCCATTGCAAACGGACGGGATGATAGAGGAATGATTCGCTCTTTGTGAAAAATGAATGTCGGTAAAAACAAAATTAACCATCACTTATCATTATTCGTGTGTCCGCCGGACGGTTGTCGTGTGTCCCAGCGGTTGTTTAACATGGGAGGGACTATCCCGCATCCCGCATCATAGCAATGCGGAAAAAACGACTGAGACACTAGGGCGTGTGTGCACACGTTGCTGTTAAGCAGCAGAGGTCAGCGAGTTCAGCTGGCTGCGTGCCATCGATCACAATGCATGGACTGACTTATTCAAATAACACAGTGCTAACGGGCTTACTTGTCTTCGGCACATAGCTGATAGGTCTAAGTGACATCACAGTAATTGCAAAGGTGATTTATATTTTTGGCCAGTATTGTTCTTTACTGCATTCGATCAAATCTACACAACTTCAGTGTAAGATCATAGATGACCTGGGGAAAGATAGCGTGCTGCCTCCGTGTTCTCGGAGAAAGATGCTGAATTTGTGATCCAGCTCCACTGGGTGCGAGTTCCAGAGTGGGCGTATTGTCTGGTCCGACTGAAATGGAAAGATCAGCTGGCAACTGGCCAACGAGGGTCAAGCCAGGCCCGGGCCGGCCATGTCGCAGCCTTGTGCGGCACGTAAAACGCTCCGCATTCCTGTCTGGCGAAAGGGTGGAGGCCAAATTATCCGTTGAACCAGAAGGCACGGCTTGGGTGGTGGGTTCAGGGTACGCACAACAAGGTATGCACAAAGCACACACGCACGCGACATCGTGCTTAGTAGGTGCTCTTATCAGAAGTCTTAAGTCAGCCATGCAAACCGTTCGGAATAGATTTATGAAAAAACTCAAAGCCGGACAGTACGCGAAAATAAATTGCACATCACGCAATGACGCCCTTCGAGTCATCATAAGTCAGTAGCATCAGTGAATCCAACTTCAAATATTGCTCTTTAATTGCCCGTCGTGGTTGGTGATTCGTCATACATTCAAAAAGCTTCAGGAAAACCGCTTCTGCCGCTAACGGAAGCGCCCGATCCCGTGCAATTGCTTATGCCGTGTAGTCTCTTTACCCGCGCTGCTGCACACTTCAAGGCTGCCGCGCGTTCCTGGGCAACCTCAAAACAGCCCCTTTAGAATACTGGGTGTTTCTGTCCTTTGAAGGCATAACAAGATTCACTAGAAAAGGCAAGCATTCGCATCAATGTTTTTGCTGTAATATTCCCAGGTTGTTCTCAACTTAATGCGTGCATTCTCCTTTATACCTACCAAAAACAAGACCCGGACAAAGTCACTAAATCGTCAATCTGGCTCACCTACTCGGGCGCAGCGAAAAAATGTAGAAAAACTCAATAATTTTGAGACAGCCGTCGGGCGGGTTTCGTTGTTTTACATGCAATAGTCGACGGCGGCGGCCAGGCGATCACCCTATGTCATTTCGAGCTTACGAAAATGAAAAGTTTTCACCATTTATCTAAGTCGAAGGGAGGAAACCAATCAGCCCACTCGGTGATGTTAATTTAGCCCAGGCCCTGGCAGCAGTTTTGACTATACAATATCGACATCCCCAGCTTACCCGACGACTTCTAGCGCAACCGCGCATCGCGCAAATTCGCGCTGGGAACAGAATTGTAAATAGTGCATTGGTCGACGATTTGACATTGGATTCATGTCTCCATCTGCGATGAATCTCGAGAAATGGCATACAACGTGGAAAACATGAAAAAGAGGCAAGTCCGTCTTGACCGCTCCTTTACACAAAACACTTGACACGGATGACCGCCTATCTACCATCACGCAATTTTCCGCCCATAACTTCTAGTAAAAGTGACAATTTCTTGTCGCTCTGACCACTGAGAGATGTGGGCGCGGTTTCCAATTGCTCCTCACCTGATTGATGTGAGTGTCATTTTCGGACCATCCATGCAAAACTAATGCAGGATGCTAAAAACGCATCCTGCTTCCGCGCTGTCGTTGACCCGGCAGCCACGAAATTTGGCGCTGCACATTTTCTGGTGCGCTTGCGCATCGCTTCCAAATTGCGCCGTTCAGAAAGCCAGAGCCAAATTGCGCCGTTCAGAAAGCCAAAGCCAAACTGCGCCGTTCAGAAAGTTCGAGCCGGAGACGACATCAAGCAATGTGGGCTGGCAGACGCATCCCACACGAATCTCACGTCAGTTTTTGTAATGTTTCCCCGTCCAACATGAACGAAGTCACAGCTCGGTACGGGTGAGAGCTGGCCACGTACATTTTGGCTCGTGGCTAGGCAAGCAGGGTCGCATCACTGCATTAAACTTGGGACGGGATCTGCCTGGCGGGTCGGATCCGGTCGCCGGCAACCGTCAACGCGTGCATACTACGTAAATACGCTTCACCGCTTTAACGCTGGAAACGCAACATTTCCAAACTGACCACAATCGTCGAAGTGAACGTCAATACCCGGTTCATAGCTTGGCTATGGTGGGTCGCCGCGAAACGGTTTCAGCGCATTTATATGTGCATATAGACGGATGATTGTATAGGCGAAAGTGCCAATTGATGCACATAGTCATGCACGTGCCGTTGAACGCAGGTAACAGATTGCCCGGTTTTGGAGCGTTTTTTTCAGGACCGGTGAATCTCAATAACTCGAGCAGGTAACAACGTAAAACCGACTGTACCGTTTAGGAGCTCGTACATTGTACGTATAACGTCTACTAATCACCGGGTCCGACGCTGTCTAACGGCGTCTGGCCCATTGCGATGCAAGCAATCGATCAGAAAACGACCAATATCCCGTTTTTGTCAAATGATCCCGAAAGGAAACGCTAGCAACTGAACCGTGCAAGCTGCCGCTATGAAATCGATACAGACATGGGGGCTAGTTCATGGTTAGCAGCATCCACCCAATAAATTTGCGCATTTACAACACTTCGGTTGCAGTTGTCCAGAACGCTAGTCGCTTCAAAGCCGCGACCATTCACCGGTCTTCCGCCGCTCACCAGCGTGCTCACCTGTTTGTCCAGGCTAGCCTGCAGGTGCAGCTCCCCGGGGCTGAGCATGAAGCGCCGGCTGACGCTGAGGCAGGGTGGCGCCAGCACGCGCGCCGGCGAGCCCTGCAGCTTGCGGATGGTGACCAAGGCCGTGGAACTGCCGGCACCGCACGCGCTGTGGCAAGGCTGGCAGTGGCTCGGAACAAGGCAACCTCCGGACGCATAAGACGTGAGCCTCGTGTGCCGACCCTTGTCGGCCGAGTGAAAGCTCCGCTGGCACCGCCGCACCGTCCGGAGAAAATGTTGAGGTCAGTGCAACGGAACCGCGTCCGTTCTAGGTTCTCAGCTCCTTCGCGGCACTCCAGTTCGTTTTTTGTTCAGTCACGTTGCTGAGGCCGGCAGACTGCATGGAAAGGGGGGGGGGGGGTACCGGTGACGACTCTGGACGATGATAAATGAAGTAAGCCTTCCGCTGACTAATTGGAGTTCGGTCACCCTACCTGGTCGTCTGCTACGTGATCTGGTGGGCTTTCTTCACGGCCCAGTAGCTGAAAGTATAACTAACGTCAGGCGTTCGGAGTGTTCTACGTCACCATCATCCTCTGATGTTTTTTCTTTTCGGTTTTGTTCTCGCGTCTCCCCCTTCCGCTCACTTCATGCTATAATATAACTCAATCTTTGACATCTAGAGTCCAGGTTAGAGTCACAGTAAAAGCTTGAGCCTGCTGATCTTAAACTGTGGCTTGCTACTGTCAGGATATGTCGCTATTTCAACGTCTAAATCATCAACTTCCATAGCATGTGACTGGATGTGTGAAGGTCTGTCCGAGGGCGTGAGGCTGCTTCCATCCACCATCTCACCACACTACAGACAAACATCGATCTGGCCAGCTGACGGTTGGGTCGGGCTGAGTCCCAGTAATGCAGATCTCGGAGGCTGTTGCGGAAACGTAACGGGAGCGCACGATGATACCAGCAGCGTCATCTGTTTCCCGTGGGTACGTAAAGGAACATGTTTCCCGGGACACACCGCGCCACTAATCCACCGCGCGGCGGATCGAATGCGTGTTTCGCCTCGGCTTCCGCCGCCAGATGGCCAGTGTAAGTGAAGTGATCGGCCATAACTTCCGGTAAGTGATTGGCGTAGGGCTGACTCAATTCACTCATAGCAAAAACCGGAGCCATCTTATCCGTCTCATTTCCATCGAACCCAACTCAATGGCAGAGCAGGTTGACCTATATCCAACGCCCACAAAAAGGTCATCCACATATCTCACAGAGATTGAAATGCCCACTCACAAGTAAACGGAGGTCATTACTTGAAGAGCATTCAATGCGCAGCGATATCGTGTCGAAAAAACCCTGCTGCCACAGTCGGCAATGTGAACGCGCCCGATCTACCGCGTCGCAGCTGCCCCTCACGTGGCGGGACGCGGGGCATCGACGGCGTGCGGCACTGAACATGCTGGCTCGCTTGTGACGCCGACTGATGCGGCCCTAAATCTAACTTATAATGGAGGGCATTTATCATCGACGCTAGTCGCCGCTCCACTGCTGGCGTCTCCACCTGCCAGTCAGGCCACCCAGCAGGAAAGTAACCTGCCCACGCACGGACTGGAAACGCGGAACTCCTGCCGAAGACCGACACGCACCCTCTATGATTTGCGCTTATCAAAGAGCTCATGGGTTTTCCGGCGCTGGAAAAGGCTCACCGTTCCTGGCCGACGCTTGCCAAAAACGTTACGCACCCAAAAATTCACAACCACCATCACTACAGGGGAACGGGTCGGGCTGTGGACACCGATGGCGTGGGGGCCGTCGGACGAGCGGTACCTTTTGAGCGGCTGCTCCCACTCGTCGTCGGCCGCCGACGCCGACAGGGTGTAGGTGACGCCGCAGAAGTTGCTCTCCTCACCATCGTTGGGACACAGCGCTACTGTGCTGGGCGACTGCAGCGGCAGGCAGAAGGAGAAGGGCGTGGCGCGAGGTCCTAGCCGCCGCAGCAGCAGCCGCTGCCGGACACGGACACTGCTGTCAGACACTGGCGCCGCTGTCAGACACTGGCACCGCCGTCAGAGACGAGTGCCGCTGTCAGTCACGGGTGCCGTTGTCAGACACTGGCGCCGCTGTCAGACACGGGCGCCGCTGTCAGTCATGGGTGCCGTTGTCAGCCACGGGTGCCTGCCCGAAGCCGACGCCGCACGAGCTGGAGACTGCAACGCCGGACGTCGTGGCTATTATTGCTATGACTTGCGAGCACGCATGCTCAGCACCATATTACATAGTTTTCTTATCAGCAATCAGCTCTGGCAGGATCTTGAGCATTATAAGACGAACATGGGCTAGCCATGTTCATAAAAATTATGAAACCCATTTCATCTGAAATCTATAGTCAGGGAGGACTCATTATCTCTGAAGAACACAGAAAAAATATGGAACCGGAGTGTATGTAAAAACTATCGGACTGTCTGCGGCGATCAGGGATGTTGTTGCGTCAGTGAGGGGCCCTGTGCTGATCCGGGCTAACTGCGCGGATCAGAAGGTCTCCCGTGTCAGAGATGGGAACAATGTGATATGATGAATCCTTCTAATGACCTCCGGATCGACCAAGAGATCCCGCCCCGTGCCACGAGGATGATAGTCAGAAGACACTTGGCGGTGAGACAAAATGGCCCTTCAGCCCTTGACCGGAAGCGGTAATGTACCCGTAGTGTTTTACTCAAGAGGCGTCTTGCCCGGAAGGGAATAAGGGCCCTCATTATTGCTGAAAAGAGCGGGTCGAAATGAATTTAAAAAACGAGCAAGGCCATGCCATGTTTGCCTGAGAACGTTCACTTCTTTCAGAATGTATTCTTGAAACAAATTACATCAAAAGGCTTGAACATGCCTGCCCGCAACCTCGAGAGCAGGGACAAGGATGGTCTGGGTTGCGACTTCCGTAAAAGCGATAAGTTTCGGCCACTGCAAGTGCCACCAGACGGCGGGCGCCGTGTTAATGTCTTCTGGACAGATAAATAGCTGCGGAAACACGAAAAATAGAAATTTTACCTTCACTCTTCCAGTTCAACCACCAGATTCCAGCCCCGCTTCGCAGTGCTTTAGGGGCCAACCCGTTCTTTTCACCAATCTAAAAATTGCACGCGTGAAATATGCCCTCGGACTGCCTTCTAAATACAAGATCTGATGTCATGAAGCGTCCAAGGATACTTTCTCAGAGGCGTCGTCATTTTCGTCCACTCGTTGGCCACAACTTAAAATTAGCTGCTGGGCCGACGCTGGGCCGACGGCCTACGGAGACTGCAACGCCTGGGGTCGAGGCTTGTATTTCTAAAATTTTGGGGTGTGCATGCTCAAAATTACGCCACATAACTTGTATAACAAGCGTCATTATTTTCGTCCACCGGTAACCACGGCTAAATGTAAGCTACTGGGCTAACGCTCCGCGGACTATAGAGACGGCAACGCCTGGTATCGAGGTTTTTGTTGCCAAGATTTGCGAGCGAGCATGTTAAAAAAAAAAACGTTGCATGAATTTGTATTACTAATCGATTCTGACTGAGTGGCGAACATTTTCAGACAAACATGGCTTGGCCATCCAGATAAAACATTGACAAGGCTTCTAAATTCTATCGGTTTAGAAAGACTCGGCTAACCATTGTAAATTAAGAGTGCCGGTGATTTCTTCCATGCAGTCGTTCAACGCCTGATTTCTGCATCTTATTGTCCTCAAGATGCAAACAGAATTGAGCCCACGGTGGCTCCTGGTTTCTGTTCTAGTTACAAGGTAAAAATACAACAAAACGAATAAAACCGTGTCACTTGCTAACAAGTAAGCCAAATCGGGGATTTGGGGGGGGGGGGGATCACAATAAGATGGGCTTTTTACGTTGCATGATGGGTAAGTAAGTGTCCGTTGGGCCATTCCATACCTAAGGCAGACAACTTCCCGGAGGCCATTTTCTGCGATGGTGTGGCATAAGAGAAGATGATTCGGGAAAAATGCTGCTGCAGGTGTCCAGCGCATGTCTCATACACCGTGTAGAAGTAACGCTGATCCAGAAGTATGCAACAAAGTAGCCACACGATCAAGCTCGCAGTCAGTCATGCGGGAGACATCCAGGCCAGGGCAGTGATCACCGACGGTGGACAGGAGCAGGGCCCAGATAAGGAACATATGACGCATGGGCCTTATTAGGTGGCTTGATTCTTAAAAGAGAATATCCAGTTTTATGGACTTTTGTTACATTGCTTCTGGCAGTTTCAATCTCCAGAATTTGCTTCCGCCTAAAATGTTGCGACAAGTCTTATTTCTTGAAAAGCAGCCAGCGAAATGAAGGCGCATGGAAACCCTGGCGCACTGTGAGCCATCGATCCACTTTCAAAATTCTAACCAGCCTATATCCATGCCGTATTTTGGCATCTGCACTGTGGAGGCAAATGCTTCCTTAATGACCCAAAATACCTGCCCGCTCGTGGAATTTCGTCTCCCAAGGAAAGACAATGTTGAAATGGACGAATAATGTAGGGAAGCTGGATAGCCTTATTTGCCAAATGACAGATGAGTCGAAAAGGCAAGATTGTGCACCAGTGATAAACAGCTCTAGATGCATAGGCAGCATAGCAGCCATGATATTTGAGCGAAGAGGATAACGATATCCATCCTACCCCCCTCCCCCCCTCTCCCCCCGGTCATCGGGCTCGCTTTCCAGAAAAAGTTCCTGAAGCACACCCTGAGCTTAGCCCCCCACACTTTTTGAAACGTTCCTGCGGCTATGAAAAGCAGCACACCATCCAAGGGCCTTACGCTTGCTGCACTACACTACACTACACTTGCACACACTACACTTGGAACTTGCATGCTGATTTGCAAGGCACTCTAAATTGCCGAAGGGGTCTTGCACATTCGACTTATGTTCTTCCCATATGCTCGGAGGGCCCTACGCTGTTTTCGGAGCGCCCAATATGTCAATCTGCTGGAGACCTCGTGATCATCCTATGACCCTTCACTTTCGTCCTGGTTTCTTCCCAATTTCCTCGGCAATCTCTGCGGCATTGCCTGAGACCCACGGGCTGACTTACCGATCCTTTTTGTTTTTGTTTTTGTTTTTGGGGAGTGCTCTTGATTCCGTAGCCAGCTGGGCATGCCGTTTTAAACAGCTTCATGTCACAGTTCACTGTTCGTTCTCATATTTCTTGTCAACAACACAGTGCCCACTAAAATCTCGCCTGTTCGTGGTACTGTAACCGCTAATGCGCTAACCGCTAATGTCAATCGGAAAATAACGCGGGTGAAATCCAACAACTTTCGACGAGTAGTCGCTATACGTCCAGGTAGTGAGCCACGTATTCATATTTAGATTCGTACTCGAAGACGCCGAGCACGCAGTCAAACATCACTCAGTCCTCAATGCATGTAATCTGAATATGAAAGTAGGTACGCAGTGGGCACGATGTCACGTATATGCGCCACCGGCAACAGGATCTTTAAGGTCCATGTAAGATCGACAGGAAATTGGAGGTAAAAAACGCGGTCACACACCCCTCAGTCAGCAAGCACGAACCTGTATCTGAAAACCAGGCAATCAGGGATAAATAAAAACAATCAAGCATTTCTCCGCGAAAAATGCGACAGGCATAAATGTGAAAACCACCTAGTAATCAGCATGACGTCAGTATATGTACCATTTGGAACAAGACCTCTAAAGGTCAATAAAGTCACCATGCAGTTAGAGGTAAAACATGCCGTCACACATTATCCCGTCAAAAAGCACATGGAACCAAAATTTGAAAACGGGCACGTGACAACTTTGCATTCAGGTAGATGCGACTTTAGCAGCTTGATATATAAATGTCATTGTCTCACAAGGTCCATTCAAATGTTGCAGAACACCACAGGTCATCCTCCACGGCAGATTTGTGAATCACTTTTTATTCGTCAAATGAAACCTTGGCTTGGCAAAATGAGTCGTCGCAATGTATCTTGTTAAGTTTCTGAGTGTTGTCAAATCGCTCATTTTGTAATGAGTTCGCCTAAGCTGTCAGGTTTTATGCATACTTTTGTCGCGTATGGAAATTGTAGCACTTGTATAATTGTCCACTCTGGTGTGTTTCGGTGGTGTCCTCGATGTTTTGGGTTTTGTTTGCAATCATGGGCCGTGCTAAGCACATACAAAAACGACAAATAGATTTTAAACTCTTCATGAGACCAATCGTACTTGTTTCATCGCCAGCTCTGAGCGCTATCGACGGAGATGCCAGGGGTCATGGGTCATACATTAGGTCATGGTGACCGCGGTCGAGCATACGCGGTTATTTTCAGGCTCGGATTCCATGCACTGATGACGTGAGATCGCCGTGAGATCGTCGTCAGCACTCTCAGATGACATGCTATGCAGGCAGTTGAATAGTTCAGGAAGCGTGATGGGATGAAGCCGGAACCCACCAACAGCGGCCAGGGCGGGCAAGATGACAGCTATATGGGGGTAGGCAGCGAGTGTTCCTATGTTTTGCTTCCAGAAACCAGTTTCATGAAGAGAAGCTACTACTAACTTTGGTCTGGACGAAGTAATTTGGGCGTAACTCCCCACTTCCCACACCGGTGTCATAAACCTGGCATCACTCCTCCGAAGTAAATCGTAAAATGCCGACGCTGAAGCGAAACAGGCGGCCATTCCCGTGACAACGATGTTGTCGCCTTGGACCCGGGAGGTCAGTATGCTCCTAACAAATCCGGAAATATTGCTAAGGTTGCATAATAAGTGTGGTCTTTATAGATAAATCCAGTAACGAAGCTGCTATTTGGTTGGCAATTAATTTATAGCCTAATAACGATCACTTTTTTATTCGCTCGAATGCAGACATCTCATCGTTCTCGATATTACTCCGCTGTTCGTAGAAGTGAACAAGGCGGTGTTTCGTGCGCTCATACTCTGGGGTTTCCTGTGCTACGTGTGAAGGCAATATGCACCTCGGCGACAAAGCTCCCTGAAATGGCTAACTTTACCATTACATTCGGTTGTGCATTTTCCGACCTTTATCATATATGTTCATGTCATAACAACAAAGAAGAAGAACAGGATCTAGTGAAATCAGCGACATGTGGAAAAGTCTGGTTTTTATAACAACCTGCCAGCTTTATCCACCACAGTTTTATGTTTGTGCTGTCCGCCAGGCTACTACACGAACCGTCGTTGCATCGCTTTTGTCACGTGCGCGTACTCGTCCGCCCCTGATATGTTGGCACCAGCTCGCAGTTAAACAGTTTCTCACTGCAGGCCGATCTTCGGTCTAAATGCCGTGTTCCTCCGCTCCCGCATGGCCACGTGCCGGCTCTTCTATGATCGCCAATGACTATTTTACGGCCAACCAGAGCATTTTTTTATTTTACTTACGTTTCGGAGTATATGTCTTCTCCATGGTCAAACCAGCTGCGTTTATGGAGATCCGGCGATGATGTCCGCTGAAGGAAAGGAGTATCTGCTTTCTCCAGCTAATTTTTTTGCCGTCAGTATTGAATTTTACGGGTGTTGAAGTAAATGGTCACTATTTACTCTATGCAGCTGGATTCGAAGAAAAAGCTTGTGAAGTTACTCACTACGCCGCAATTGTATGCCGTTCTCTCTTTATCAAGCTGTTAACAGGTCGGCTTACTACCAGGGCTCCAATGGAGGCGAGAATACCATTTGACCTGTGAGAAGGCCCCGGTGCGCCCCTTGCTGGCATAGCAGGCCCCTTTGCATGCTTCGGTTGCACAATACATTTTAGGCACAAAAGTTGGTCTAAGCTTTCCCACGTCGTCTTACGCGAGTATTTCTTTGATGGCAGAACAACGAAGTTCTCGCTCGGCACTGAGTATCCTTGACCGTGTTTTGTTGGGTTGATAGGTTTGGCTAGTCCTCAAGCCACGAGTCGACCTTTCGGCCTTCACCGAGCGAGGTCTCTCGCGCTTCACACCTCGCAGCTCCGGGCTGGCAGTACGCCACGGACTCGGCCGGTGGGTGAGCCTGATCTGTGTAATCGGAATGCGCTTGTTTGAGCCAGGCGACTACATTGCAAGCCGGGCTCTCCATCCGCGCCCGATTTCGGCTGTCTCGCACACCACCCTCCTATCCACCGGCACAGCTGAGGCGCACATAAACCCAGATATCATCACCGGTCCGCTGCGGCAGATCTTGGCGCAGTGCGTCTGCCACGAGGGGTCTGATCGAGCGGGCAGCGCTCGTCGCCGGACGTCACTGGCCCTGCCCAGTGGGGGGCCCCAGTGACTGCCAGGTCATGACCGCTCCATACCAACGGGCTGACCTGAGCTGCAGCGGCACCATCTGACAGCCTCGCGACGACGTCAGTCGTTTTGTGATCACGACCTGGGACGCGGCGGGTCCGCGGCGCTCTATATCCTGCAAGACGCGCTTGTGACGCTTGACATCGAGCCCACCAAGCCAGGTCCAGCGTTACGGACGTTACAAGGCTGCACGGCTGTAGTGCGTTAAATGTGCATCGTCGGAATATATTCACAATACTGAATATTAAAATAAATGGAAGTCCGTATGGAATATTGGCTTTTCGAGCTCCAAAATGTATGAAATAAAGCAGATCCTGCTGTTTTTCCAGGATACATGACAAAAGGAAGAAAGATATCGAGCTCCTAGTTGTCGCCATCATCAATTCCTATGCCAAAAATAAGTGACCTAAATATCCCCTGACAAAGTCCTGGATCTGGACTGTCCTGAACCCAACATCTATGCCCCACGTTCTTAGGCAGTGTAGGCATGCACATTATAGTTTTGTATAGAATAGTTTTGTTTCGCTCGGGCAAAGTGAGCCTTTTCCTCGACCTGAACAGGAGGACGGGGAAAGTGACGTGTTCCAACCGTGGGTAATACGCAGCCGGCCGTGTTCCACGCTTGGCAAGAGCACCACTAGCTTGGGCAGAGTCGATCCTACGGTTGCGCTGGGAGGCCGGGGGAAATCCGAGGACTCCGGTGGTGACTCTGATAGCGATGACTCATCAGGAACCCGCATCTATGCTGCTGCCTTCAGGCTCCTGGTCCTGCTTCGATGGACCTGTGCCCGGGTCACGTCGCTCGAATCCACGCGCCGGCGAGCTCGATAAAGCCGAGCAGGCCGCGGCTCTAAATTATCACCAGAATGAATTCGGTCTCATCTGGAACAGTGTTGTGGAACATGCGCCAGCCCGTATAGGCTTAGGCTCCTTCCAGCGGACACGCGCCCAGCTACCGAAGGCCAAATGCTCCAGCGTCCAGCCAGGCGATCGCACCGGTCTGGTGCTATCAGGCGCACAGACAGGAGTCGCCAGGTCTGTCTGAACTGAAGTAAAGTTCATAGTTTCCGACGAGGCAAGCTCCGTTGACCTGAGCCGGCATGGACTTATGCTGCTAAGCAGCAGAGCACGCCATGTTTGGTGAGAAGCTCCATCATTTGGCCAGAGGCGGCTCATGCGGCGAGTCCAAACACCGTGGTAGGACACCAACAACTCAGCAGACAACTCAGCACAGGCTCGCAGCCTTGGGCATCGGACACGCCTCAGATGGAGTCAGAGACGTCACTGAAATATTGACTTCCATTAAGCCGGTAATCTATTACCAATCTGCGCAAAAATAGACCAGAGATGACATTTCACAACTTGAAACGCCGATGCTGGCGGGCTGCCAGTTTTCCATCGGCATCGCGCGCTTCTGAATGCGTAACATGCTCCCACGCAATGGGGGAGGGGCTTGACAGGGTGGTTCAGAGGGATATGTGCCTTGCCCGGAACACACGACACCGATTGCTAGCAGTGGATCACACCAGCCACCGCACCCAGAGACCCAGACAGAGGAGTTACCTGGATTACGTAGGCAAGCATAATGAGCCAAAATGGGCGGCGCTGTGATTTTTTCGGCATGGTGAGTTGTTATGATGACAATAACCAACCTCGAATGTACCAGGCTTGTACCTGGTTAAACGAAGGTGTCAATCAATCATTGACGTAAAATTTTGAAAATACTCGATGCTTTGGGGCAGGGCACAATCCTCATGGCCACGAGTGAACAAATTTAAAAAAGAACAGACATAAGAAAACGTAAAGCAAATGAGGTAGTATTCCAAAAGGTTCAAACAATGATTGCTTGGCATCTTCGTTCGGACTGGTATATTGGTATATTGAAGGGTGGACAAGCCATACGTGATAGTGTCCAGATGTGTGTGGCCCAGTGCAGCCCCCAACCATGAGCCAGATGGTTGGCTACGTTCGTTATACGAAATCAGATAGCCGAGAAGGCAGCAGGTTGGGCTCTTTCCTGGTAAAATTGAGTTTCTCTGCCCGGTTTTTGGCTTATTGACGTTAGTCACAGAGCCTATCGCCACATGGAAAGATGGAACAAAAAAGTTTCATATTGTGATACGTATCGGACAACGATGTTGGTCATACCCGCAACAGGCAAGATGAAGTGAAGTAGAAGTCCATAATCCTTAGCCGCAAATGTTGCCTGCCCATAACTATGGGAACCATAAAATGATACACAAAAACGAATATCATGACCCGGCAAGTGTCGCTGGCCGTGTACTCAGCTCTGTATCTCGAATTTCAGAGATCGGCATGTGATATGGTTCACTTGAATAGCAATGCATCAAGCGCGAATCAAATGTTCATGTACAGAATGCGTGGTGTATGTATGCAGTGCAGGCGTGTGTGAGCCAGCCTGCACTATTTCACGCGTGGCTGTACTATATATGGCCGATTCATCAGCTGGGCCGACTCGGTGCTGGACACTGACCTGCAGCTGGGTGGGTTCGGGTGTCGGCGGTGAGCCGCGGGTACATCTGCTCCGCCGCCAGCACCACGTCCTCCTCGAAGCTGAGGCCCAGAAGCTCCATAGCGTCGCAGCCGTAGCGCATGGAGCACGTGACACGGCCGAAGACGCGACGTCGCTCCTCCAACGTCGGGCTGACCATCAGCACGCCCTCTGCGGCGAGAACGCGTGCGTGTCGGACCTGGCCGGTCGGCGAGAACGCGTGCGTGTCGGACCCGGCCGGTCGGCGAGAACGCGTGCGTGTCGCACCTGGCCGGTCGGCAGGAGCACGTGCGTGTCGGACCTGGCCGGTCGGCGGGAGCACGTGCGTGTCGGACCTGGCCGGTCGGCGAGAACGCGTGCGTGTCGGACCTGGCGTGTCGGCGGGAGCGCGTGCGTGTCGGACCTGGCGTGTCGGCGAGAGCGCATACGTGTCGGACCTGGCGTGTCGGCGGGAGCGCCTGCGTGTCGGACCTGGCGTGTCGGTGGGAGCGCGTGCGTGTCGGCGGGAGCGTGTGCGTGTCGGACCTGGCATGTCGGTGGGAACGCGTGCGTGTGTCGGACCTGGCGTGTCGGCGGGAGCGCGTGTGTGTCTGACCTGGTAGGTCGGTGGGAGCGCATGTGTGTCGGACCTGGCTGGGTCCAGAAGGAGAGCGTGCGTGTCGAACGTGGTGGGCCGGCGGAAGCGCGTGCGTGTCTGACCTGGTAGGTCGGCGGGAGCGCGTGTGTGTCGGACCTGGTGGGTCGGCGGGAGCGCGTGCGTGTCTGACCTGGTAGGTCGGCGGGAGCGCGTGCGTGTCGGACCTGGTAGGTCGACGGGAACTTCTACGTGTCGGCAGGAGCTTGTGCGTGTCAGACCTGGTGGGTCGCGTGCCAAGCCGGGTGCACAGCCAATCGGTCGGCTGTCCAGAGCAGTTCTGTTTCGGCCAGTGGTTCCGGCAGTGGCGGAGAAATGAGATCGCTAAGCGACTGAGAAAGGTTTCAGCTCCCGCAGTTTTTGACGGCGCGGAAAACAGGAGGCCGCGCGACTTTTGTTAGCTGTGCCGATGGTGACCACGGGTAGCTTTAGCTGGTGGTCAGACGGTCTGAAACATGTTAGAATGGATGGGGAAAATGCAATTCCAGCAACGAATTAATTGGGAGATCCCAGGCAGCGTTTGAATATTTTCTGAAGGCATGAGCACGGATTGCTTGCAGTTTTCTTTACCGGCTGCTGGTATCATATTTATTGACAATCATCATGCTGCAGATGTGTACGTAGTCATGAATAAAGCGGCGCCGGACAATATGACTTTGAGTGGGATACCTCCGAACCAATACTTTACGGTGATTTAAAAACTTTGCATATTGCAACGACAAACAACGGAGAAAGAGCGGTTCAGGTAATATGGAGAGGAAATTAGTCCAGGGAACGGGCTGCACTTGCACGCGTCCTAGACAGGTATACTAATTATTTGCAGCGCCACACAATGTTTGACAGGATGCCATGAGTGGCAATGGCACCGCCCTTTCATTTAGCAGCTCAGGCGTACACCATCGGCAACAACAACTGACCAGTGTGTTCTTACAGCCATTACGCCGTCACAAACAAGCTTATCAACTGCCGCAGCCTTATAGTCAGTCTATTATTTCAATATCATAACATCCAAATAGCATCGTCCGATAGGTTATACTTTCCTGACCTGAGCCGTCGCTAGCAGTTTTTTCTTAAGAAACAGAGGTGAGTTGTTTGTGGGACAATGCATCATTTCTGAATACGTTTAGTATTTCTAGGCCACTCTAGACATGGTCAACAGAGAAGTTTTGTTGAGAAGCATCAACAAAGTGTGATTTTCACCCTAACTGTTTACTTAAGCCTGTACCATTGACATAAAAGCGCTTTACGCATATCGCATAATGCTCTATATGGGTGCTTGAAACCGCTGTTTTATGCATTCAGCGTCATTGAGATCCACTAAAGACGGGACATCGCCAAATTCTTTTTACTCCATTCTGTCCGTACATAGGCGCGCCATTTAAGGCATTTTTGGAGCTCGTATACATTACGAGGGAGATCAATCTTTGATGACCAGATTAAGCCATCACGCGACATAATCAGACCAACATAGTTCGAGATATCAGGTTGGGGACATCGACACCACCCACCTTAAGCCATTATAATTCAGAGATGGTCGCAGAGCGACAATGAAAAGCTTAGCCCGCGAGCTATGCAGGAAATACTTGCATATCAGTGACTTAGACGCAGCCATCAATGAAATGTAGAACATAACTAATTATATTCCAACCATCTGGGACAGAGGCCGTCCGGCTATTTGGTCAGTGGGTTAGAGCGCCTACTTTTTGATTCACCCATCCTTGGCGGGGTGATCTCGAGTCCCCTCAGACACTCGCTATTTGCCCTCGACAAGCATGACCTGGGTCCGGCGTAGGCGGCCACGCTACAGGCCACAGGACGTAAGAGGGCCAGACGGGCCGTGCCAGACATTACGGCGCGTTCTGCTATCGCCACCAGATTCTGCCGTTGGCCAGGAGTTGCATGGTCGGATAGCAGGGGTGGGAGCTCGCACAACAAGCACTGCTTAGCGTGAGCTCCGGGCCTAGAAGGCCGTCCACTCAATAGGTTCGGACTCGGTCTTAAAACAAAATAAAATATAAATAAAAAGACAGCAATGTGCAGCAATGTAACATGCCAGCCAAGTGTACACGGGCGAAGGGAGATGATGGGACCTGCCTTTTGGATGCAATCAATTTGTCGATTGAAATCTGCGATTAATTTATTGGACCAGTTCTTGACTCATATCGACGTTTTGATGGATTAGCGATGGATTAGAGCGCCTCAAGTAAAATGGAGCATGGTTCGCGTGGATCGGACAAACACTCTTGCCAGAGAAAACTAGCAACGAAAATCCATTGAACGCTTGCAAAAGATCTGTTCCGACAGGACACAATAGCATCATCCACCACCACGGCTCTAGCTGATCTAATCCACTCGTCTTCGCCCGCACGTCTGTACGCATCTGTTTAGCCAGGCGCGCAGCGCAGACGCCTTCGCGGATTGCCGTGATCTGCGTGGCAATCCACGACATAAACTCGCGCCCGTCCATTACCGATGTCGCTCACACCGCGGGGGGGGGGGAGGGCATGCTTTGGACATTTAGCAGGAACATGTTTTTCACATATGTAGGAGAAACCAGTGCAAAGACTCAGCCATTTGACACATGCCGCGAAGACCGAGCAACAATGAGTACACAGCCACCACTGGCAAAGGACTGCCATTTGACGCGAACATTAAAAGCTTTCAAAATCCAATCAGGACCCACTGTGTATCGTTGGGGGACGAGCCAATGTTATATCCTGAGGCGATGCGACACCAACGTCAACGGCATCGCGCCTCCGCGTGGCGAGCCGATCCGGAATTACAACTAAATGCTATCTGCTCGATGTCCTGAGCGCGTTGAACAGGAACAATGTTTCCGAGTGTTCCATGGGTGTGAGACCGCTTACAAGTGTTAACTGAGACCAATTTCTTATCATTGAAACACGAGTCAGCACTGCATCCTTGCTGGCGGCACTGCCGATGCCAGCAGTGCTGCCTCTTCGCACAGCACAGCGAGCGTGCACCACTTGTATCAACTAGAGCCGTAATGGTGGATGACTACTGGAGATGTAACGTGGATTTACATATACATACATACATACATACATACATACATACATATATATATATATATATATATATATATATATATATATATATGTACATATATATAGTATGGGTCACATGTAAAACTAATAATAGGCGATATAACTGTGACTTTAACAACTTTGTATGGAGTTAGCTTGTTCGCTTGATTTATTTGTTTGTTTGTTTGTTTGCTTGGTTTGTAACAAAGCATGGAGTTAGTTTGTTTGATATGTATATATATATATATATATATATATATATATATATATATATATCTATATATATATGACAAGTTTGCAAACATGACTAACAACCTTGTATATTATATATATATATATATATAATATATATATAATATATATATATAATATATAATAATATACAAGGTTGTTAAAGTCATGTTTGCAAACTTGTCATATATATATATGTATGGGTCACATGTAAAACTAATAATAGGCGACATAACTGTGACTTTAACAACTTTGTATGGAGTTGTTAAAGTTGTTAAAAGTTGTATGGAGTTGTTAACAACTAGGTATGTATATGTAATCCACGTTATATATATATATATATATATATATATATATTTATATTCATATATTCATCTAACTATCTATCCATCCATCTATCTATCTATATGTCTATCAATCTATGCAACTATCTGCCTGTCTCCCTATCCAGGTGTAGGTATATGAGTGGACGTGCTTGTAAACGATGTGGAATAAATTGTTATCACTGTGAATGCGGTCACCACGCCTGCGGATGCCATGAAAAGGCTTTCAGAAAAGTGAACAGCGCTGCGATATGGGTGTTGAGATCTATACCAAATATTACAAATGTGGGTACATTTAGAACATATATTGGAGCAGCTCACATATGTTGTTGTTCTTAGATAGAGCAGCAGCCGCCGAAAGCATGTGCTTAAGTTAAATTGCCACTGCGATCAGACCCTCAAGGTCATCTGAAGCCGAGGGCTCCCGACTCCAAACAGGCTCAACACACCCAGAACAGCAACGGCAGGGGGTCAACGTGGACAAGTGAATCCAAGTGAAGCACCAAGAAATCACTACATTACAAATTTATTGATTAAGGTGAATGATCAACAGTTTTGGCATGCTAGAACATTACAGCCTTCTGGTTCAGGAAGTATGGCGTGTGTTGACAGTTTTCGCCGCAGTCGAGAGCTGTAGTGGAAGCCCATGTGAGAGCTTAGATATGGCGAGACACGGATATGACGCCGCCACGCCTTGAACTGTGACGCTCAGTGTTTCAGTATTGTAATGATCATGCATTTGCGGACGCTGTAAGCTGGACGCTGGAAAGCAATGTCCTAGTTTGTGTGCCAAGCATGAACAAAACTGGATCATCGTCAATTTTTGCATGATTTCCAGAGCGTTATCTCCGGGCTGTGTGCTTTGGCTGGGATATTGGTGGCCGGCTGGGCTCATGAGCGTGCAGCGTTTCCCCCGGACGGTCGGTTCATTAAGTG